GTGTTTCACAGAAATATCCTTTTAAAATAACAAAACTAACAGTGGCTAAACACTAAGAACTGAATTTTCCAACTACTTCCACACTTAAGATAATCTATGGAAAAATAATAATCAAAATCAAATGCTATAAACCATATGATTTCTGGAGTTCTCCAAGAAATTCCAAAATTGAATATCTAACTTGAACATGTAAAACCTTTGGTTGACACCACCAGTCACCACCACAAAATTGATTTCTTTGGTGGACGCATCGCATCCTAGCCAAAGCACAGATAATCACCAACCAAAACAGTAATTGTTAAAAATAAATTAAGAACTTCATAGTTTAAGGCATCATGAATCCAGGAAAATGACATTTTAATGATTCAATATGGAAAATAACATTTTAATGATTCAATATTATAGTAAATAATTCCAACCTAAAATTTCTATTAATAGTGAAGAACTTTACACTTCTTTCCCTTTTTGAATGAACCATATTTTACCCAACTCTGCGCAAGAGTATCGGGCACAAATGTGTCTAGATGCCGAAATTCAACTTACTCAAGTCATATAATGCAGAGTCAGGCATAGCAATCAAGTGGCATTCCACTTACGTCCAGGAAAATGAACCATAAGTGAATGGCACCAAATGCTTCTGTCATGTGCCAATTTCTTTTAACTGAATCTAACATACAATTCAAAAATCTATGTCCCATTAGATGATAGGCTAAAGCAAAATTTTGTAATCACTAGAAACAATATTTTTAATAAAAGTGAAAAACACATTAAAAGAACCAGAAAAAAGCCATAAATACACGATAACCTTCACGTATATGAGACAAAAATATATGAGACATTTTCAAGCTGCTAGGTCTTAAAAGATTTGGGAAGAAACAGAAAAAGATGAACTCAAGAAACATGGTTCCTTTCCATATGTAAAGGTTCCATAATGCAGAGCCATCAGCAAGAATCAGATTGAGAGAAAGAGTCTTTGACATCAGTAGATCCAGTACGTCCTTTGGACCACAAGGCTAGTAATACTGAAATTCATCATGTAGATAAAATCTCTCCTTCTTTCTTCCTTTTCTCTCTTTGTCTTTCCCCAACCCACAGCCTTCATCAAACTATATGCAAAGTCCAACTGATACATAATTTAGGCTTCTTAAATAACCAATTTAGACCGTATTGAGTATTGTTATGCCTATGTTGATTTTAGTTAGAGTTAATTAAAGATGAGAAATCAATGTGGGATACAAAAGTCTTTTCATTTTTCCTTTTGGTTAATTAACTAGAGGTAGAAGTTCTTTCAAACAGAAACCTCAATGCAGAGGTCGCAATATCTAAGTGTGCTTTGGTAAATAACAAACAAAAGCTACTATTCAACTATAAAGATGGATAATTATCATGGTAGCCCTGTCTTTAGAAATAAACATATAACAAAAATAAAACCTGAAAACCGAAAACCTCTCAAAAGACGAAAGTATAAAATGGCCTTGATGAAGTTAAGCAAAAAAGGGGACTAATTTCTTCAAATGGTAGCAGGTTACTGATTCACAAGAATTAAAATTATGAAATAGAAATTTTAAATATTCTTTCGGCAGATGGATATATATAAAAGAAGAATCAAACAAGTATTCACCAAGAGAAACACACCCCAATAAGCTTCATACCTGAACATGCTTGTAACTAGCATCCACACAAATATGACATTCACAGGTAACCAAACTTTGATCAACCTCCACATTAGTGGTTCTGCCGATATTAGGCCCAGAGAACTCAGTATAGACACAATAACAACGGATATAAAATTCTGCAGGCAGAGAGAGTCAAGACCTTGTAAAGAGATTGCACATAAAAATTCAGCTACTATGATACAAAAACAAAAAATCCTAGCATAACTATGAATGTCAGTTATAGTAAAATACCTGGTACAGCATCAAGGATATCGCAGCATTGAAATCATAGCTAGAGAGCACAAACTTGTTTACCAGTATCATACCACAGGAAGAAATGCAATATGTCGGGCCAGATAACAAGGCCTGATTTTGTATTTTAACTATCTTGTTACTATGTATCGTTTTATCTCTGTCCTTTTCCAACTTACCACCCTCCAAGTCCATATCATCATTTTGAAGAAACTTTACTGCAGATAATGACCTATATCAACAGGAAAATATTGATCAATAACCACTATTAGAGATCTCACTTCGTTTTATTTGCTAAGGTAAATAGACAATCATTGAAAAGAAATGCAAGATATGCAAGCTACAAAAGTGTTGAACCCTCTGAAGCTCGCATACCAGTTAAAATAAGAGAAAAGAAATGGGGGAGGGGGACCATTGGAACCTTTGGAGAAGGATAAGATCTATATCACTTTCAGAATTACAGTAACTATACTCCCACTTTACTTTCCAGTCACATATTAATCAGAGAACTATCCAAAGATACAACAAGCACCAAAAGGTAAAAAAATTCAAATAACAAATCTGTAAAGCTTATAAAAACAAGAAAAGAAAAGATCTCTGGGTTGTTTTCATGCACTAGAAGTGTTTTATGGGAAGCAGTATACGGTGTGGAATCACAGTAGCTGCTCACAAGGGAAAAGAGTTTCTGACAAAACCACATATAATCTAACATTCAAACTTAAATTTGGAGAACCGTAAAGGAGAAATGAATACTATGAGAAACTTTATTAGAAATTCAGAAGTAAAATAAACCACTGAAGTGCACCACAATTCAATGTAATCCTTAAATAACTAAATAATACCTGTAAACTACATCTCTTCTTACTGGACTAGAGGCTTGATGGCCCTGATCTAGCACTGCATTTGACTCATGAAATTTAAGGGAAACCATACTTACATTTTCAGTGTGATTCCTTTCACAAAGAGCATCAGGAGAATCTAGAGATGCACCAATTGACAAAGTTCTTCCAAACAAAAAGAGTATTCAAGCATCAGATTTGAGCCGCAAAACAGAAGCGGTAAATAACAGAATCAAGTACAGACAGTAACAGTAGCAGAAAGAATGGTTAAGTAGTCATATTTTAATGATTCATATTATACAAACTCCAATACTAAGAGTTTGTTCCTAGCAGATATAAATTCAACAACTCAAAACTCAAAGGAAAGATAAATCAGGGAAACTAAAGACCTAGAAACCCAGACAACAGGAATGGGGGAAATTTTAAATGATAAAAAGTACTTCAGATTGCTATAAAAATTCTGATGGAAAATAAAGTAGCATATAGACAACTGTATTTGTCGAACTTGGGAATCATTACTAAACTTTCAGTTCCAATCTCCTTGTTGCTCTTGGAGTTGAAAATTATCTTCTAAGTTACATTCACTTTCACTTTTGAGTTTGACTACAATAACTCCAAAATTATTAATAATATCTGCAATACTTTCTTTTCATCATTTTGACTTATTTTTAGATGATTCTACAATTTCATGTTCTTCTAATGCTTTCAAGGAGAACTATTCCTGCCTCAAATTGATACTTAAATCGAGTTTCAGCATCGGCACATTGGAGAAATTTGCATAAAATGGATGTACATGATTATGGTGCTATGCATGCAATGGAACTAGAGGTTCCTTAAAAAGCATATACATAGACCAGTAAAAAGGTCCTTGTTTCCTAATCCATAATCATGGTAAAATGGCCATTGCTTTCTAAACCTTACATCTGTCATCCAACAAGACCTAAACAACATCTCCACACCCAATTGAGCTCAATCCATGTTCTTCTGTTACACGATTTTGAAATATATGATAGCCCACATTATCAAAAATAAGATATGCATAATCAGATAAGCAACAAAATTTTTTAAAAAATGGTACAACTAACTTTATACGACCTACAAACAGACCTAAGCAACCAGATTAAAACAAGTAATTTTTATTTACGTGTAGAATGAAATAATTACCATACCAAGTTTCCCAATACTTGATCTTCTCTGTTTCAGTTCTGAGTCGATATAACTCATCAAAAAACTAAAGCCTTATATGATATAAACAACTAGATCAGCTGGTGCAGTTCGTTATCAAGCCCAAATGGTAATTTACCAAGTTAAGAATTACATATTAATACTAGCATTAAATGTAACATACAACGTAACTATTGATCAGCACCTTATTTCTATGAAAAGAAAAACTACAGATAAATCTATTATCCATATCCAAAATTTATAATTCAACAGCAACTGGGTAAAACCCAAAGCTAGATAATTACCCATTTGATGTTCATAAGCAAAGAATCAAACTTTATATGAAACAGCAAAAACAAAAACAAAGAAAAAGGAAAACCAGAAAGAGAAAAGAGAAAATACCTTGAACCCATCAAAGCTCAGAAGTTGTTAGCTTTGAAATTTGAATGCATAAAGAGCATTCAAATTATAATATAAAAACTTAAACTTAGAATAATCAAGAAAGAACCCACCAAAGTTAAATGCAGTGAGAAGCCAAAAAAAGAGAGTGAATATTTGAGAAACTCAGAGAGAAAAAAGGAGAGACCCTTCTGAGATTTGAGCGAGAAAAGCAAAGAACGAAAAGGAAGAATATAAACGGAAGTTGAAAGGGCTAAGATTTCAAAGAGTTTGATAACGTATACAAACGACCGACCCTTCTTCTCAACTCGCAAACTTCCATTTTATTTTATTAGATTAGAAAAAGATGGGATTTTTTTTTTTTTTTGAGGGGTTTCAAATTTTCTTTGCTTTGTCGTTAGGTGGTTGAATGCCTTAACTTGCTTTATTGCTTCAATGGAACCCTGCTGACACTGCTCAGTGTTAAACAAGAAGTTTTCACCAATGCTCCTTCCAAGCACCTTGTTGCAAGCTTCGATATAGACCCTTGCTTGATAAAATTGATTTATTGCCTTTTCACAATTCACAATAAAATAAGCAACTACATTGATGCTAATTATTGTAATTTCCTTATATGCTAGTAAAAAGATTTATTAAAGAAAGTATATCACTTAGTATAGTTTTGTTTTGTTTTTTTCACAAAATAAATCCTGCATGTAACTTAATTTATTTTCTTTCTCTTTTTTATTCCTTGTTTTGCAGGGCAAATGGGCAATCATTCAACTCGGGAATTGAGGTGAGTAAAATTTTTGGTCCTAAAAAAAAAAGGTAGTATCATCAAATTTGCACTGCTTCATTCCTGTTTAGCGTTTAGAAAGAAGTCCCCAAGAACTGGTGTTTGTCAATCTCACTCTTTCAGGAAATGTGCTACTCCTTTTATTCCATGCTTATTATTATTACGTTTCTGTTCAATGATTAACCGAAATCTGCACTTCTTTATGGAAATTGGGGATATATTATATACTACAAATTTAGTTGGATTGCTTAAAAAAAGAAAAAAGTTGGATCATGCATCCCTTATGCTATGCTTCTCCCTCCGGAATTAAATGCTTTGCTGAGCCACTTGCCTATATGAATGAATCAACATTAATGTTGTCGTCATTGGCTGATTAAATGCTTATACTAAAATAATGGCTAATGACATTATAGTATTTGTTTGTTTATTGGCGAAATCAAAAAGCAAAATGGTCAGTGGCATGAAAAGTGATATCACATTGGCAGTCCTAATTCCTCAAAAAATAAAAAATGTTGTTGCTCACCAAACCTAATATACAGCCTTCAGCTAAAATATCAGAACTCAGGTCTTTTATTCAGATGACTAAAGCTAGGCATATAAGCATTTGGGAAGTTTGGGGAATGCCATTGTGAGTGAGTGAGTGAGTGGAAAATCATTACATTTAGATACACTCCCATTTACTACAACACTTGGGTGATGGGATGCATTGTCAAAACAAAGTGCACAAAGGAAAACGACTACATTCTGCACGCTTGAGACAAAGTTAAAATCAAATATTAATCAATCTTTGCCAAATTGAAACTGAGTATGCATTTGAGCACTTAAAATCAAATCTAGAGTTTAGACGTCGTGTTTCGTCTAGGCATTTTCCACGCTTAACTGCTGAAGTAATGCCTATGTATATCTTATACTTTTGTCCTCTATGAGGAAATCTTACATTTTGTAAAACTAAGGCTGAGTATGTTCAAGGTCCAAAACCATATTCCTTCACAAACTTAGAAGATATGGGAAATAGGTCAAAAGATTTGCTTTACCAGAAGAACATATGGCGAACATTGTCAACTTATTATACAAAAGAGAATAAAAAAAGTCTAATATATTCAGGAATTTAGACTATTAATATACGACGATTGCTTGGCCTTGATGAATTTACTTATGCTTGCTGCATCACCATGCATAATCACTCTCCCATCTTCCATGTATACTGCACCATCTGCATACTCAAGTTCTTCCAAACGATGGGTGACCCACAATGCTGTGACTTCTCCAGATATATCCAACAGATTCTGAACAGCTTTTATCACCCCAATCTAATCAGGTCATAGCAAAGAGTTTTGATTCAGAAAAAGCTCAAATTATGCAAAAGCAGAAACTGTTTCAAAAGTCATGCTCATTGACATATTTAGTTATGTCGGAATATCTAATTGAAGAATATCTGTAATCACCATATGGTACATACAGGTATCAAAGCAAAACTACAACTGTATGGACCATAAGAAGACTATAGATTTCTAGTTATTTCCCTTTTTGTCTGCTCAAATAATTACAATGGTAGGCCACTAAGTTAGTTGAAAAGAAAAGAAATATATAATGCAAAAATGCTATTTCTCCCATGTAGGAAAAAATTGTTTAACTCTGTAATGCTAAAAAGAAAAACTTTAAGAAAAAAGAAATTTGTAATGCTAACCATCATAATCGTTAAGAGGCTCCTCTAATCATACATTTTATTTCTTCCTTGTGCATTTCAACATGTTGCACACATATCCCAAAACTTGCATCAGAAAATATTGATACATGCTCTATCTTGTGTCTACTATTATTCACCTGATCACTTTCATCCAAAAAAGTTGTAAGCTCATCCAGCAGCAAAACTTTACATGCTTCCGCTAAAGCACCAGCAATGGCAACCCTTTGTTTCTGACCACCACTAAGAGTTTGAACTGGCCTCTGAAAAAGAGCAAGGTGACAAACCATGAGTAAACATACAATATTTAACATATTGTATAGTCCAAGAGCTGTTGAATACAAAATCTTACCTGTAGGTACTCAGACATGGCAACAGCATCCAAAGCTTTTGACACCCTGGATCTGACTTCAGCATTTGTTAAGTTTAACCTCCCAAGGCCAAATGCCACATCAGCTTCAACTGTAGGCATCACGACCTGCATGATGAGAGATGCTACTGGTGTAAACTTAGGTTTCTTTAGAAATCTACTAGCCATATAAAAGTCTGGTCATATCAGTATTGTAGCTCACCAAATTCATTGGAGGCATAAATTTTTTTCCCACACATTGACACGTTTCAAAAGCCGAAAGGCCCACAACCAGACATGGAACAAAATGCAGCTATTAAGATCGCACATACTCATTAAAGGCTGCAGCAGGGAAGCATAACTTTAAAGAAAAGGCAGTACTTATTAAAAGTTATTTCGCTTTAAAGGGAAAATGAATCACAGTCACTGTTTTACATTTGATTCTGAAGATAAAAACCCAGGACATAACTATTGGCACGCTATACAACAAAGCACAAGTTGTGGCTCTGGAAGTAACAGTGGTGATGGTGATGGCAGCACAGAAAAGCAATGCAGGCCTGGGGATGGCTCATTTAGTGATGACAAAAGGATGAAAATATCATAATTCTAGTGAAAACAGTGAAGCCTTTTACACCTATCATATCTTATAATATTATATACAAGAAACCAGACACCTTCCTTACAGTTAGAAGAGTATATTGTTGGTCACTGCAACAATTACAGTGAGAAAAAATGGAAGCTAAATGAAGAAGAAACCAGTGATAGACTATTTCAAAGACCAAATTTATCACCAAGCTAAGGATTGAAAATTTCTTTTAAAATCGCATATAAACTTTAAGAAAGTAAAAGCACTATAGGGGTATCTAATATTTTCTTCCCCACTTCTCAAGTTCTCATTTTAGATGGACATTCAACAACCTTTAGAGCTCATGTCAGATGCACAAAAAAACTAGGATTGTGGAAAACAAATTATATTTTCTAATGATCATCATTCATCAATTCTTAAGTTTTGAAAAGTCCACTGAAGTTATATTGTACTCCGTAAAAGAAGTGAAGCAAATGATGCAGAGGTACCATGTATTCAGGGTTACCTGCTATCCTATGTCTAGGAGTAGAGAGAAGAGGCACCTTCAACCAGCAAAATACTTGTTAAATGCTCTTCCTACATTGGTAAGAAATGCTAAACCAAATTGACCATTACGAAGGCATCAGTATTAGAAAGACTACGCAGAAATATTAGCCCACCTACAAGACTACGGCAGCAATATGACCAAAAACTTAAAAAGAGAAGCCTGGACTGGAAAAGAAGGCAAACCAAGTAAAATTATTATTAAGTCTGGAAATACTAGAAAGGAAACTCAAAAAAATTCCATGAACAATTGACGCTATCAATGTAATAAATCAGACAAGAGTTGGTACAAGAGCTTCAATAGGTGGTATAGAATAGCTGAATAGGATGCCATGCTTCTTGTATCTGCTGAAATCCAAGGAAGTACAATAGACAGAAATGCCATAAAACACTGAGCCCAAATTCTTCAGATTAAGTAGATTCTAGAATAGTGGAAGAAATTATAGAAAATATATCTTCCTAGTCCTTAAATTTCTCAAAACACCTATTCCCCTTCTATAATAGTTGTAAGTAAATGCAGCCTCAGCACAGAAGCTCCTTACAAGTGAAATTAAGTTAATCCTTAGAAGTCCAAAACCACTTCAAGCTTAAACTAGAATTCTGATATAGTTTAGGTTCAGTTGTCTTAAAAAGGTAAATAAACATATTTCTTCTTGTTTTAATCACCAAATATGAATGACAAGATTCATGTTTAACCATCTAAAAGCACCAATCTGATTTTTGCAATGCCATGGTCAAGTCTAGGCTGCAATAATTATAAGACCCCCATCATAAGCACCCCAAAAACTAAAACCATCATAAGTTTAGAGGTAACAAAACTAATCCAAGAACAAAATCCAAAAGATATAGTAATATAAAAAAGTTTTTCCCAAGGAAAATAACCAACCTGATGGTCTGGATTTTGGAATACATAACTCTTTGGCCTGCTAACGAATAAAGTTCCATTTGATGGGGTCAAAAGACCTGCCAAGATCTGCATGATTCACAATATAGTAAACTCATAATAATTCAGGCTATATTTTCAAAACTAAAAGGAAACCAATAGTTTATCAAACACATAATGGCAGCATACAATTTCTTAGATGAGCAATGCTACTTAAAAGCCACTTTTCTCCTAGCTATTTGTACCCCCATTAACGTGGCACATGGTTATCTGAAAATTACAATGGTGAAGTCTACAAATTCTTAGGGAAATTGAAGTTGAACCATTCTGGCATCAGGTGGGGCAAGTAGCATTTTGTTTTTTAGATTATTAATACCCATATTGATTTTGTAATAGGGAAAAAGAAAATTTGAGACTGAATGAACCTTTAAAAGGGTAGATTTCCCACAACCATTAGGACCAAGAAGCATCCACAACTGTCCCGAAGGAATCCGAATTGAACAATCCTTGAGAATTGGGACCATTTTGCCCTGCCTCGTATTAACCGAGAAGTTAATATTACGACCCTCAACAGCAAAATTTTCAGTTGCATTATCCCTGCAACCAAACAACAAAAAATGAAACACCTACGAGAAGAAAAAAATCTGAAAGAGAGAAAGCATAATCTGTTTGAGAAAATGCGTAACTGAAAGAAATTTTATCTTGATGGTCGTTAAGTGAGGATTTTGAACCTGGTGGAAGAAGTTGAGTGAAGATGGGGTAGATGAGGCGGACAGGTACGGACAAGAGTATACAGATTCATGCTGTTCTTAAGTATTATAATTTCAAAAGTTAGTTTAACAGCCAGCCAAGCCAAATCTTTGGTAGCGCGGCGCTTGTCTCTGACTCTGGTCTCTGAGGGAGAGGGAGCACTCGGGCCAGGACTAACGAGCACACTAACTTGCTTTCTTTGGGCTATTCGTTGGGTTTAGCCCAATTTTTGGTGGTAAAACTTTAAATTATTTTTATTTACATGAATAATTAAATTTTAATTGTTTAAAGAATTTTTAGACGAATTTTTTTAATTTATTAAAACGATAAAAAAATAATTAAAAAATTAAATATCAATTTTTTATTTAAAAAACAAAAAAAACCTCCTTAACATTACTTGCACCTTTACCATGAACCATTAGATTTTTGTGTTGGAAATCTGGCCGTTAGAAATAAATGAAGAGAAAGGATCATCGCCTCTTGTCTATCTATCTATCTGTCTATAAACCACTTGAAAGGAGGGCAGTCACAGCTTTAGTTTGAAGCATAGTTTCTTTTCCATGGCATTATCTGCTGCTGCTCTCTCTCACGGTTCTTTCCCATCCCTCTCTAATTCATTCCCACAATCCTTAAGAAGAGGAAACCATCTTGGTTGTCCATCAATTAGACTCATAAAAGCTGCTGCTGAACCTGAAAAAGAAAAGGCGGCTGCTACTACTACTACTACTACTACTCAGACCAAAAATGCTAAAGGGTCTAGCAATGATCAACCTCAAAGCACAGTTGCCAAGCCACTTCCCAAGAAGCCTGTTTATTCTAGTGAGTTTCCCTGAAATTTCCTTCAATTTATGGTTATTTAAGAAGTTGCTTGGATTTGAAAAGATGCAAGTGGTTTTTTGGGCAGTGAAGAAAGGCCAGATTGTGAGGGTGGATAAAGACAAGTATCTCAATAGTATTAATGTAAGTGAAATATGTGTGTGTCTTCTTCCTCTTGTTGTTGCAATATCTTCTCAAAGTTATGTTGCAACTTTGCATTGACAATTAATACTAAGGGTAGAGGACAGTTGGCTGAGAGTACAAGAAATTGGATGCAGACAATATAATTCCTTGTTTGTCATCTATTAATTGAGTTTCCTGAATGATATTTCTCTCCAATTCAATCTATATAGGCCGATGGCTTCTTCAATCAATTGGGCCAAACTATTTATTTCAATTTCATGTGCCTCAAGTCCAATCTGAGATCATATTACATGTTCCCTCAAGCAAACTTTTTCCACCCTGTAGATTTCCAGGAAACCTGAATCCAAATTGAGGGAATCCTCTTTTCACTGTTACTGTATATATCACAAAAAGCAGACACCGTTTTATCAAGACGTGTGGTGAAAATAATGAAGAATCCGTAATAGGTTTGCTAGCCAACTTTATAGGGAAGGGATCTTTTTGAGGGATGAAATTTTGCTTTGGGATTACATATATGTAACTCAAGACATAACTCTTTAAAAATTAGACAATTTTTTGAATTAGAAGAAAAATTCATTCCTAGGAAACGGTTTTAACCATAAGACACCATATTCAATAACCAATTTATCAGTACCTATAGACATGAATTTCTGCCGCTTGACAACTTCATGTCCAAGCTAGTAAGGACACTGTGAATCAAAATGGCAACTGGTGCCAAAAAAGAAAAAAAAAAAAAAGAACTATGACAATATTATATAAGGCTCCATTCAACAGAGAAGAAAGAAAGGAGGGATTACAAGAGAGTAACAATACTCAGAAAACGAATCTATATCAGCTACATACACCACAGCTTTTTGTGCCTAGAACAAGTATCGAATTTTGCTTAGCATCAGCATAACATTACAGGGATATATACTGACACGTTTGGTTTCATTTAAGTATCTATCTGTAGGGCATCCCCCCTATTACAAAGGCTTGGACTACATATATGAAGACCGTGGTGAGGTGCTACTTTCAACTTGAGTACCAAAATTTTCCCTCCTTTTGTTTTCTATAGGACATTTTAGAGGCCATTAAATCTTTTGCAACCTGCTTGATGACTTTAGGTCCTGGATCTACGTATTTTTGAGACTGGAGAATATGCACTTGTAAGAATTTTTCACTCATACCTTTGCCTTTTTACTTTGGTGCATTTTTATTTATGTTTAGACTATAATGATTATAGAAGACCTAGGGCTAGTTCTCTACCAGAAATCATGTAATATTAAGTTTTCTACTGGTCCATGAAGTTATGAACTGTTTTATTTAGTGTTATACTTGCGAAAATTTTCCAAACTTTTTATGTTAATCTGTTATACATTTTCCAGTTAAAAATATAATAATGAAGAAGGAAATTGACATCTTACAGTTTTTGTCAGTTTTGAAAATTGGGCTCTTTTCAATCCCTTTTGCTGGATGCTTATACATTCTGAACTAATTCTCAGTTAGGGCAGTTAAAGCTAAATCTAACTAAGCATGACTATTTTACAGGTTGCATGGGTTGGCATCCCAACAGCACCTGCTTGGCTTCCCACAGACATGCTTATCAAGGTAATGTTAACAGATTTTTTCATTGATCACTCCAAATATACAGCATATCAATATGAAAAACGATACCATTTGCTAGTTCTAAGCCTGCTCGGGCAACGGTTGGGTCTTGAGCTCCTTCATACACAATGAACCAAAGTCAATCAGGTTATTAGTTTGGCAAAAGAGTTGAGCTTTATTTCAAATTCTAAAAAGGAAGTTTTGTATTCATTCTGCATCATTCACTGCAAAAATAAACTAACCCAGTGCATTTAAAATACCTGTTTAACAACTTGGGTTCAAAACCATAGACAATTATTATTCGAATTAACCTTGATGCCTGCCTAGACTCAAAAAACTCTTGTTACAATACGAGCTTGGCTAAGTTAGTCAGACCCTGTTATTTCTTTTGACTGTCACTCAACGAAACTTGTCAAATTAAACGGTTGTTGAACATTTCTTTTTAATTGGAAGCATTTATATTAACCACGGTTGCTTGTTTCTTGTTTGCAGTCTGAGAAGCTCGACTATGAGAGATTGTGAACCAGTCTTCAAAAGTGGAATCCCACACTTTCAATGATGCATATATATACCATTGATTTTCCATATCCATGATATAACATGGTTGTAATTCACCATGAGTTACAAATATATTGTATGACAGCAAGAAAGTCGTAGTGTATCAATGTAATAGACTTGCATCATTCATTCATTACTTTGGTTGATGTCCACGTAAAAGGAACTGGTGTAAAATGAAATCTACTAGAGCATGTATCATCCAAATTCAATGTATACCACAAAAGGCTTCAAGAATTTATATTAGCCAATTAGTAGATATTCAGAAACCAGGTACTGCAGCTGTTGATGACATTGGCATTGGCATTCATAGTCATGGTTTCCCATCCGCCACAATCTTTGTACCAACTTTGACATAACAATCCTAACAACCAAAGAGGGAAGAGGTCTAGGCAATGGCAATGGCAATGGCAATGGCATTGGCACAGGCACATTCACATTGATTGACCTGTTCAACTTTCGAAAGCTGTACATCACAATAGCTCTTTGAAGATCCTATGGAGTAAGAACACTTGCTATGAGTTTCCTTTCTCGTCAAGATGACAACTACAATTTTATTCTAGTTTAAACATCGGTGAGTGACAGAAGAAATCAGTGATTTACTTGCCAAACATATATATATATATATATATATATATATAAACTTGATTTAAACAATTTTAAAGAGGTTTAAGAAGATTGATATCTAATTGAAATTTTCTCAAACTCAATAAATAAATTATCTTCCTTTATATAATTCAAACACTGAATATGAGACGTATCCAGTCCACAACACAATATTTACTTGTGGGATCTAACACAAACACCAGCTCTCGTAAAGAACTGGAAAGGCCCAAAGCCAATAGTACACCATTAAAAACAAGTCTTCAATATTCTTACACCTAATGAGCATTTCACGGCTCTTTAATTATCGAGCCGCCTTTCTTATCGGGTACATTGCTAATAATTTTGTCCCGTTCTAGTTAGTTTAGCTTGGAATGGAATGGATGATCCGGGGATTCATATCCTGATTCAATGACATTGGCCAAACGCCGATGACCAACAGGTGCACCATGTACGGTCCGCAATGTGGTATTTGCAGACATCATGATCCCTTCTTTTCCGATGTATACTTGATTAGATTTTTTTGTTAGGCAATTTGGTATATGCAGACATGATCACATCCCGTTTTTACAATGTACACTTAATAAGATTTTGATAGCAAAACATATTTTAAGAAGCGTCTTTTTAATTTGAACAAAGGCTCAAAACACGAACCACCTCAGGCTTCATTTGAAATGAAGCCTCAATCTGCAGCTAAAATGCAATGGTATGACACCACCTATTCAATCTGTTGGGTGACAAACAAGTGAAGGTATTGCTTACTTGATGACTAGTATACAACAACGAGAATGTTACAGACAAAGTTCTCACCTTCCACTTCCATATACAAATATCAAGAAGAGATTGTTACACTATCTCAGGTATGGGAGCATTTTCACCTTTCTCGTGCAACAAAAATCTAGCTGTCCCCAAATTTTCCCACTTCGAGTAGCCTTATGTTAAAAAAAAATGCAATCACTTTTTCTAGTTGGGTAGGAAAATGAGATTGCCAAATTTACCAAGAGTAAGAAGGATCCTTTCATCCAAGAAATATACTTGAGATTCCTTTGGCATTTGGGATGTGGAGTGGAAAAAGATATTTAATTCTATCGCTATTTACAATATCTCAAATAGGTCTCGTTCTTGGAGAGGTGCCCGGTGTTTGGACCTTTAGTTGTGGAGTTTCAAGCCAAGGATCCTGAGTGCATCTTGGATTTGGTCTCAATGCACTCCCAGAGAAATCACCCAAGTTGTGACCACTCTGTCCTACAAACTGATAAGCTGGATGAGGAGGAGAAAGAAAACAACTCTTGTGTGCTGGACCGTTTCTTAATGGACTTGAACAGGGCGATACAGGCAAAGATGTGATTGCTCTTGCATTATCTCTGTGCATGAATACATGATATTACTTTAGAACTTCATGCACATATATTTAGAGTGCAGAAATGAAAGACAATATCATTAGCACCTTGGACTCCTCAAAGCTCTTGAAGTTGTAGCCACTCCCCTTGTCCCATAATCTCCTCCATCTAATGAGAGGATATTATTTCTATTCGACTGCAGTTCTACTATGGGCTGCTCAGAAAGTTAAGACAACAACAGAGATTAGCTTAAATCCAGCTCTAGTTACTGATAAGCAAGCTTCAAGTACATATGCTCATTCATGTATACAAGCTTAAATAGTGCTAAACAAGATAATGGTATAGCTGCTGTTTGAAAAGAATGAAAACAAAGTAAAATCAATTTCACATTAAATCTGGTATGATGGCTCACTGTGATTGCAAAATATGGTCCAAAATATCATTTCAAGAGTATAATAAAAATTTTGAAAAGCATCATAAACATAGAAGAAATAATAATTTGCAAAGAAATTGCACTAAAAAAATTACTTATGTTACCGAACCATTACTTAAAAAACCATGGTAGATAGCATGATGTCCAGATATGCTGTTACAGTTCAGCACTTATAGTTGACAACCTATGTTTATCATTCCATCACAAAGAAACATTTATTTACACACCAATCTGGAATTCTGGATCAAATGATTGTCACCCGTAAAACCAGCACATTTCTATGAGACAAGAGTAATAACTTTCACCCAATTATAGATTCTAGTACATAAGGTTTTCTTGAAGGCACTATAAGTTCAGTAGCATCAAGCCTTGTACGATACATAGTAGGTTTCTGTTTCCAAAACATAATGACATGATGACCAAAGGCCATTATTTTATATTAAAACCAAGTAACTGAAGCTGTTCCAAGCGTTTTCTTAATCAACCAGTTCAGGATGGATAATAGGGTCTTCACTATATGTATAAAAGATAAAGTCTATGCAATTAGAGTAATAAAAATATTAGAAAAAGAAGAAAGGGAAACAAGCATCTTGAGAATATATACCGGAGTGTGGCTTCCATCAGAAGTGTAAGGAAATGCATCCTTGGTTATGCTGATGTTAACAATCTTGTTGTTGCTTGGTCACGAATGAAAGGGTGATCTAGCAGTTTCAAGGCTGTAGGACGCGCTGATGGTTCTCGTTGCAAGCAAAGCCTTATGAAACTTTTTGCTTCATTAGAAAGGTGATCAGGAATCTCTGGAATATCTCTACTGTTTCCGATTTTAAATATTGCAGCCACCTGTTGAATCCAGAAAACAGTTTAGAGCCAGCCAGAAAAAGACATTATCTGAGAGGTGTTTAGAATTAATATGCCACACCCCTTCATACTGATTCCATGGTGGTTTTGATGTTGCCATTTCAAGCATAGTACAGCCCAAACTCCAGATATCCACTGCAAGGTTGTAGCCATTTGTATTCATTACAACCTGATATCAGAAAAATACACAGATAAGTGGCCATACCCTGGAGAACTAGAGATGCTGAATGGGAAAAATAATTAGCACTAAAATAGCAGTTAAAAAGTTTCCAACATAAGAAAAAGGGGGTGATTCTGGGATCATATAGTAGAGAGAGAGAGAGAGGAAAAGCTATACCTCAGGTGCCATCCAATAAGGACTTCCCTTGAACGAAAGCATTGTACCACAAGCTGTTATCTGGATCAGAAAGAAAATAAATAAGTGGCCTATCTTGATCATTAACTGGGAAAAAAAGATAGGGAATAGGGAGACAAGATCACAGGCCATTTGCCATTTTTATTTACAGGTTTCCAATTTGTTAGATTTACATCAATCTTTACGTTTTCTGCCAAAAGACAGAAAATAAAGAAAGAGAGGAAGTAGGGAAACAAGGTCACTGGCCATTTTCAGTTTTAACTACAGGTTTCTAATTTGTTAGATTTAAGTCAAAGTCTTAGATTTTCTGTCTCAAGACTACAGTCAGTTCTGCAAAAGGCAGATGAGAAGAAAGAAGAAAATGCTAACCTCGCAGATAAATTGGGGTTCAAGTGATTGTCTAAAAGACAATGTACTTTCTAACCTCTGTTTTCTTTACAACCAAAATTATCATCATATCAATGTCGTTTAGTAGACACTTATTATTCTTAGCCCTAACTAGTTTTTAGAGATATTGAAGCTTCAGTATTCTAGAATTAAGCCCATCATCCCCAAGATGAGACAAGGTATCATACATGTTTTGCCATGCCAAAATCTGCCAACTTGATTTCACCAGTAGGATCTACTAATATATTTGCCCCTTTTATGTCTCTGCAATGTTAAAACCACAGCTTTTAAACATAAGACACAGTTGATGCTGAATTTCCACACTACAGCACCAATAACTAGAAGTACATCCAAGTACCTGTGCACTGTATTTCTTCCATGTAAGTAAGCAAGACCAGAAAGAATTTGTCTACTATAGTTTTGAATAACAGGTTCCTTGAAGGCACCATATTCTTGAAGCAATTTGTGGATTGAACCACCAGAGACATATTCCAAGTAAACCGAGAGTGTTTCTTCACCCTGGAAAAACGGCAATTAGATTACTATGAAGCAAGTTCCAATTAACTGGTATCAGGAGAAGGATTCCAATGATCATTCTCCATGCACATTTCTTTTCACTTCATAATGCAAGTGAATCATTTGCATGTATTGTCTTCTAAAGCAGTATATAAAACCATACCAGTTCACTTCCATAGTATCGAACAATGTTTGGATGAGATAACTGATTCAGCAAATTTATCTCCTGTTGATATTAAAAAGGATTAGAAAACCAGATACCCAAATGTGGCAACTTGTAAATGATTTCAATATCAACTGGTAAAAAGATACCAGAAAGTGAAATCTACCAGAGATATGTATAATGATGCATTCAGAGAGAATCAGACAAAACTATTACCTGGCTAAGTTGCTTGAGGCATTCTTTTGATTTCTGATCATCAGAAACAACCCTGACTTCTTTTATCGCACACATCTGCCCACTTTCACTGTCCAAAAAGGATACACAATATTAAGAGAAGCATAATAGGAAAAAACCATAAACAACTTCTGCTAATTATTTGGAACGGTAACGTGAATGCATGACAACAGCTATTTTTGGTAACTGATAAATCTAAACTCTTTAAGCATTTATGACTCTTGCAGCGAGTGAAAATTAACTCATATAGATAGCAAGTTCTACCTATTAAATCCAAGGTAAACATGTCCAAAAGTTCCCCTTCCTAAGAGTCTCCCTCTACGCCATTTCGACAGAGTATAAGGTGTATTTTCACTCACTCCACAAGTTCTTGTGCTAGGCAAGGCAGAAGGACTAGTAGGAGAACCTGGAGGAAGAGGCAACTTATGACACACAGACTTCCCTTCTTCCTTTTTCCCTGTAGGAGACTC